TCCTAGGAGGTTGTCCCTGGCTTTGAAGCTTACTCCCGCACCCTTCGTCCCTTTATACCTCTCTACCCCCATGTAAACCATGTGCCCATCTGGTTTTACTCTCCTTCGTTATTCCGACTCTATGTTGCCCCGCACGGCTTGCACACTCTCCCATGCCCACAAATCTCAGCTTGTTCTCGCGGCCTTTGCTCGTCCATAAGTACTCCTATACCTGTCCATCCCCCTCTATCTATGTGTCTACATGTACCCCTACCATCCTTTCCCCCTCTAGGAAGTTCTTACATGCTTTTTCACCCCTCCACCCCCACCTTTCACCTACCCTTGCCCTTACACACCCCTGGGCTTATGCGCAGCTGCTCTTCCCTTGTGCTTGCATCATTGATGCCATCCCAGTTTAAGAGATCTTCTTCCCATGCAGGTTCCCTCTCCCTCGGTAATCTGCGCTGACCTATGCTTACATACTCTCCCCTACCCACGCGTCTTGTCCTTCTCGTGGCCTTCGCATGTGCAGGTACTGCCCATAAGACCCTCTTCACTCCTAGGTATATACATACTCATACCGTCCTTTTCTCCCTTGGCAGAAGTGCAATGCTTTGTCCCCCTTCTCCCCCTCACCCGCCACCTCCCCCTGCCCATGTGTATCTCTGTGCTCGTGCGCACCTGCTCTGATCTTACTTGCACCATCCTCACCGCCATCCATTTACACTCTCCCCCTGCTCAGGAAGGACCCTCCTGCTGATTTGCTCCTTCCTACCTTTCCGTCTCGACTTTCTCACAGGCTGACCTTTCCTCGATGTCCGCTTTCACTTCATTGTTGCCCTATGGCCGTTGTTCTGTTGTTTCCCCTTATTCGTGGCTAGCCTATGTTTATACCATTCCTCCCCCACTCGGTTTCTACTCTCTCCTCTATATATTTGCCCCTTCGTTCCGTTCGACTGTTCTGCTCTTTTCTACCTTGATGAAAATTACTTGGAATTTTTTTTATCCCACCCCATCAGCTCTCGTAGCTCAGTTGGTTAGAGCGTATGGCTGTTAACCATAAGGTCGGTGGTTCAAGCCCACCTGGGAGCGGTTTTCACCTCTTGACTTTTCTCCAAGGCCAATGATTTGTTCAATCAGACCGACAAGTTGTTGGTGTTCAACAAGGCCCTTGTTCGGCTGGGGCGCATCTAGCTCAGGCTCGGAAACCGGCTACAGGAAAACAATCACCCTCAATCTTTCCTAGACAATCGATTGAGAGGTTACCAAGCCCACCTGGGAGCGAATTTCTTCGATTCATTCAACCAATGTTATAGAAGGCATTTGACCAGCCTTTTGTTGTGGTTTTGTTGCACTCCTCTTCAAGCACCATTGCCTTGCTTCACAATCACTCTGTTTCCTGCCTCTCCCATACCTCCACCTCCATCTTCCTCAACCCCCCCCCCCCCCCCCCCCCCCCCTCCTCCCCTTCCCCTCCCTGTGCGCCTGGTGTCAACAAAGGGTGGAATGGAAAGACTCAGTCTGACATGTGCTGACAGTCATGCAACCACTCCTCCTCACCCCGCTTTCCTTCTTTCCATCCCATCACAGAGGAGGTGGGACCCAACCCAAGACCTTTGCCATTCGCCTGGTGTCAACCTAAGCTGGCAAAACTCACTTACTGTAGATATTGCCCCCATATTTTTAGCAGGCAAACCCTGAACCATAAAATCAATCTTGACACCTTCAACTCTTAGGGTACGTTCCTGTGGAGACACTTGTGTCTCAATCCCCTTTTTTCCGAGTCGCGTCTACACATTTTTGCAATCTCGCGTCACAAAAAATGAGTGTATCACGAAACTGTGCGACCAGGCGAAATTTACAGCTGTGCTCATTTGATTGGATTTCAAACTTGACTGAACACCTGCTTCTTCAACTGTCTGGTTCGGGTGGTGTTTTGACGAGCGGAACTTTTTCCCGCGCGAGATTTTTACTATGGAATGTCCAGGTGCATTGACATTTCGAACCGCGTACAGAGTTGTTGACAATGACGGGTCGATACGCAACTCGTCCGCGACATCAGCGCGTTTCACGCTGACAAATGAAAAATACATTAAAAGTCGCACAAGGGCGACACGCGTTTGTGACATTGTACGTTATAAGCTGGTTTTACGCGTCACAAAAGGATTGAGACACAAGTGTCTCCACAGGAACGTACCCTTAGTGTGGCTGGGGCCTGGCCTAGGGCGGTGGCTCATGGATGGGACAGATACCAGGGCAGCCAACCGCATTGAAATGAATTTTTTCGAAAGTGTGTAACACTTTCTAAAAATGCGTATTGTGAAAGCGCAGCTGCCTGTAACGAAGCAAAGCAACGGCGGATTACAATTCGCCGAGTACATAACGAGGGTTGGAGGCCATTCGGCCTCCACCCACGACTTCATTTCAGAACTTTGCAGTTTCAGTCCAATTCTCGTCCAACCACCTCGACCGTTTCCTTGTCGCTAGAAACAATCTTCTAAGCTAATACTCACTTGCACGTTCAACCCAGGCGCTTGATTTCCCATGAAGGGCAAACTATCACGAGTGCGACTGTAACTGGCGGGCGCTCAACTGAGATCGAAGTGCGTCGGACAAAACGCCAACAGGCGCGCCAGAGACGAAATCGCCAGTGGCGCGCGCTAGGGATGAAATCGCCAATGGCGCCAGTGGCGCACGATTGGGACGAAATCGCCACTGGCGCCAGTGGCGCGCACCAGGGATGAAATCGACACTGGCGCCAGTGGCGCGCGCCAGGGACGAAATCGCCACTGGCGCAAGTGCCGCGCGCCAGGGACGAAATCGCCACATGCGCGCATGTGGCGAAATTGCCACGTGCGCCAGTGGCAAAATCGCCACCAGCGCTCGAGGGACGAAATGGCCGCTGGAGCGGCAGTTACGAAATTGCTACTGCAGCGCCTAAGTCGTTTGACTGGGCGTCATTTGTTGCCTACGTGCTGCAAGTCTTTTAAGTTTTAAGTTTTCTTCCGTTATGATCTCTTCGATTATTTTCCATTAATCTCTATGCTCCTATTGTTACTTGGTGGCAGAAAAATAGGCTCAACACCACGGGTGTGGAAAGACATTTTTAAAGACTCTACTGGTCGCGCGGGAGAACTACATTTACGACAGGATCAACTCAACGCGCACCCAAGGACGTCTCCCAATAAAAAGAAGGGACCGAGGGTCTTCGTGTGGCCTGAGAGCCGTCCCCCAGGTGGGGAAGGGGACCAAGGGTCCCCGTGTGGCCTGAGAGCCGTCCCCCAGGGGGGGAAGGGGACCGAGGGTCCCCGTGTGGCCTGAGAGCCGTCCCCCAGGGGGGGAAGGGGACCGAGGGTCCCCGTGTGGCCTGAGAGCCGTTCCCCAGGGGGGGAAGGGGACCGAGGGTCCCCGTGTGGCCTGAGAGCCGTCCCCCAGGGGGGGAAGGGGACCGAGGGTCCCCGTGTGGCCTGAGAGCCGTCCCCCAGGGGGGGACGGGGACCGAGGGTCCCCGTGTGGCCTGAGAGCCGTCCCCCAGGGGGGCAAGGGGACCGAGGGTCCCCGTGTGGCCTGAGAGCCGTCCCCCAGGGGGGGAAGGGGACCGAGGGTCCCCGTGTGGCCTGAGAGCCGTCCCCCAGGGGAGGGAAGGGGACCGAGGGTCCTAGCGTGGCCTGAGAGCCGTCCCCCAGGGGGGAAGAGACTCGAAGGTCCACACGTTGGCCTTACCGTAAAATGGGCAAAAATTTCGAACAATGTGCTCGTTTGTATGACTGGATCATCCTTGGTTTTTGATGTACCCCATTTACTTTTTAATATGACCAATAAAGGCTGGTTGGAGCCCCACTGAAATCTCGGGAAGCAACTGTTCGAGTGCACCTCAAGTTGGTTTTAAAATCTTGACTTGACTCAAGTTGGTGTTCACACACTTTTAAACCACATTCCGTGTTTTTCCAAATAAGGGCAATGACAATGGGATCGGTTTTCGCCATCATTCTTATCCCACTTTGTTCGATAACACCCGACAGGGAAGCAAAAGCACGCGTTGAAACGACTTGCATGCTGTCACCTGAATGGGCGTTTGGGAGTAAAAGGCGGCAATTGTGTGACCGTTCCTACCCAACCAACATGACGAATACCACACTCACCCGACTACCACTTCAAACCCTTACATCCACCCACGTTGTAGTTATTCCGGCCGGAACATCAAACGACTGGAAGTGTAGGGTAAAGCAGAGCACATGGAAGCTAAATCCCAAGATAAAAGTTGTACCGTACATTGGGCGTGTAGAGTACGGGAACCACCAGTTTCAACCACTATCCTTGTGCACCAACAACCAGGGACATCCACATCAACAGCACGAGCAACCTTCGCGCACAGCACCTCGGACGCCATCGACATGGAGCCCACGACTCACCAACGCCGCCCCTCCCGGCATTTCGTCAATGTCATCAACCGCAACTACACTCACCACGTCTTCAACGTTCCAGCTGCACATGTCTCAGAAGACCCAATTGTAATGAAGCCAGTTGCCTTTGCAAGAACAGAAAGCAAGCTTTCTCAATATGAATTTTTTCGAAAGTGTGTAACACTTTCTAAAAATGCGTATTGTGAAAGCGCAGCTGCCTGTAACGAAGCAAAGCAACGGCGAATTACAATTCGCCGAGTACATAACGAGGGTTGGAGGCCATTCGGCCTCCACCCACGACTTCATTTCAGAACTTTGCAGTTTCACTCCCCACCCACCCACCCTAGTTGTACCAATATTTGTATGATCCATAGTTGGACGAGAATGTTGTATTACTGCAATTGTAATGAAGCCAGTTGCCTTTGCAAGAACAGAAAGCAAGCTTTCTCAATTACTGTACTGATGTTTAGATAGATACGCAGGCCACCAAGGGGACTTCGATAGATACTGATACCGGTAGTACAATCTGAATGTGGTAGCTTGCCTCATTCCACAGAAAATTGCATTCAAAGGTATGTACAAAGAAAACCATATATAATCGGGCAGTAAACAGCAGCACTACACCGTATGCATATCCCTATCAGAACAATCACCACCATTAACAACAGCAGGGGCCAGAGGTAGATGGAGGAGAGGAGGGAGACTAGCTCGCAGCAGCACCTTCCTTTCGAAGAACCGCGGTGGAGCAGGGGCAATTTTCCATTCCAGCCTCAAATCACTCAGGTCCTCCCCAAACCGCCTCTCGTAATAGATCCCCGCCAGAGGCACTGCTCTGATACCAGCTCCAAGAGCCCAGGAATAGATGGAGGAGAGGAGGGAAACTAGCTCGCAGCAGCACTTTTCCTTTCAAAGAACCGCGGTGGAGCAGGGGCGATTTTCCACTCCAGCCTCAAATCACTCAGGTCCTCCCCAAACCGTCTCTCATAGTAGATCCCCGGTAGTGGCACCGCTCTGATACCAGCTCCAAGAGCCCAGGGGTAGATGGAGGAGAGGAGGAGGGAGACTACTAGCTCGCAACAGCACCTTTCCTTTCAAAGAACCGCGGTGGAGCAGGGGCGATTTTCCACTCCAGCCTCAAATCACTCAGGTCCTCCCCAAACCGTCTCTCATAGTAGATCCCCGCTAGTGGCACCGCTCTGATACCAGCGCCCAGCGCCCAGGGGTAGATGGAGGAGAGGAGGAGGGAGCGGCGGGCGGGGGAGAGGCGGATAGGTGCGCCTAGGGAGGCGAGGAGGCACATGGGGAGGCCAGTTTGGGTAAACTCGATGAGCTTGAGGGCTAGTTCTCCAGAGACGGTGGTGGGGAGGGCGAATATGGTATGCCAAAAGTCGTGCACCTCCCTTAGCCTGGAGGAATGGAAAGGGAAGGGGGAAGGATAGAGGGGAGGGAAAGAGCGACGGAAGGCACATAGGCAGGCCGGGATGGGAACAATGGTGAGTGCGTGATCCCCCCCAGACACACGAACGTGACACATGAAGATTCCCCAGCCAAAATCCACACTCCACACCACACTCACCGTGTGTGTGGAGACATAGGCCAGCTCTGGGTCGTCAATGAAGCACACAGGCGGCCGTTCGTGCAGCATCAACCATCCAACCAACCATCCAACCATGCGCACACAGTAAGTGGGTAATACTCTCACCACCCACACTCACCGTGTGGCCACGTAGGCCAGCTCTGGATCGTCAATGAAGCGCACGGGCGGTCTCTCATGGGGCAAACAGCGGTGAGAGTGCATGAATTGACCGCAGGGTCTTGCCTAGCCATGTACTCTCACCACCCACACTCACCGTGTGGCCACGTAGGCCAGCTCACGGTCGTCGATGAAGCACACCGGCGGCAGTTCGTGGCGCTCGAAGCGGCAAACCACGAGAGAGGCCGCCTGTGTGCTTCAGTGGCGAGGGCGCATGAAGTGAGCGTAGGCCGCTCCGAATGTCCCCGTCCGTCAGCCAGCCACTCCTCACCCCACGCACACAGGAAGATTCACCAGCCACACTCCGAACTCTTGACTCACCGTGTGGTCACTGCCACATAGGCCAGATCTGGGTCGTCGATGAAGCGCACAGGCGGACGTTAATGGGGCAGGAAGTAGTGAGCACGCATGGAGTGAGCCTTCAAAGGCTGCTCCAAAGGCCCCCGTCAGCCCCCACGCACACTCACAGAGACTCTTGACTCACCGTGTGGCCACGTAGGCCAGCTCAGGGTCGTCAATGAAGCGCACAGGGGGACGTTCGTGGGGCTCAAAACGACGAGAGCGCATGAAGTGAGCGTATGCTGCTCCGAAGGTGCCTCTGCCGCACTGCTCTGCTGCCTGCAGTGTGGTGTCTGTCACCCGGGGTTTCTCCTCCAGTATGGCCTGATGGTGAATGCAACGCAGTTAGATGGGCACGGGGGCAACGGAGTGCAACAAGTGAGCATAGGCCACTCCGAAGGTGCCTCTGTCGCACTGCTCTGCTGCCTGCAGTGTGGCGTCTGTCACCCGGGGTTTCTCCTCCAGTATGGCCTGGCGTTGAATGCAGTTACACAGCAGCATGGGATTGCACGAGGCGGCAAGGGAAATGAGACTTCAAACGTCCCTCTGCCGCGCTCCTCTGCTGCGTGCAGTGTGGCGTCTGTCACGCGAGGTTTCTCCTCCAGTATGGCCTGGTGTTGAATGCAGTTACACAGCAGCATGGGATTGCACGAGGCGGCAAGGGAAATGAGACTTCAAACGTCCCTCTGCCGCGCTCCTCTGCTGCGTGCAGTGTGGCGTCTGTCACGCGAGGTTTCTCCTCCAGTATGGCCTGGTGTTGAATGCAGTTACACAGCAGCATGGGATTGCACGAGGCGGCAAGGGAAATGAGACTTCAAACGTCCCTCTGCCACGCTCCTCTGCTGCGTGCAGTGTGGCGTCTGTCACGCGAGGTTTCTCCTCCAGTATGGCCTGGTGTTGAATGCAGTTACACAGCAGCATGGGATTGCACGAGGCGGCAAGGGAAATGAGACTTCAAACGTCCCTCTGCCGCGCTCCTCTGCTGCGTGCAGTGTGGCGTCTGTCACGCGAGGTTTCTCCTCCAGTATGGCCTGGTGTTGAATGCAGTTACACAGCAGCATGGGATTGCATGAGGCGGCAAGGGGAATGAGACTTCAAACGTCCCTCTGCCGCACTGCTCTGCTGCGTGCAGTGTGGCGTCGGTCACCCGGGGTTTCTCCTCCAGTATGGCCTGGTGGCGGTTGGTAGATGGGGTTAAATGCATGGAAAGAAATTCCATTGGGTGAGCATAGGCCGCTCCGAAAAGAGCATCTGCATTGCACAAGGTGGGCGCAAGTTGCTTCGAATCTGCCCGTGCAGGGTCGGTCAGTGCTCCCACTGATGGCCCCACACCAAGTACCTGCTATACACACATGCATGCATATAGACACATGCGTACGCACACTGCACACGCCCGTCCCTCCTCTATTGCCCTCATCTGCTCTCTGATTCGTCCCAGCGCCAACCCCCCAGTCATCTCCCCCACAGCCGCCACCAGATCCGCCCTAATACACATGCATATGTATACATACACACATGTACACACTAATACCACAACTCACCCTGCCCTCCTCTGTCGTTCTCATTTGCTCCCTAATTCGTCCCAGCGCCACCCCCCCAGTCGTCTCCCCCACAGCCGCCACCAGATCCGCCCGGGCAGGGTTGGCCAGCGCTCCCACTGACGCCCCTATGGCGACTGCTGCTCTTTGGAGAGGGGACAAGGGTATGTGCGAGTCGTATAGGGGGGCTGGGAGGGAGAGGGGCAGGGAGAGGGGCAGGGCGAGAGAGAAGAGAGTATTTAAAGGCACGGGCAGGGTTGGCCAGAGCTCCCACTGACGCTCCCACAGCCACTGCTGCTCGTTGGAGCGGCGAAAGAGGTATATGCGAGTCGTATGGGGGGGCTGGAGGGAAGCCGGGGAACGGTGTGGGCAGGGACAGGAGAGGGAGGAAGGGGTTGTATGAAGGCCCGGGCAGGGTTGGCCTGCGCTCCCACTAGTGACCCTATGGCGACTGCTGCTCTTTGCAGGGGGGAGAGGGGGATGTGCGAGTCGTACAGGGGGACTGCAGGGAGGGAGGGGGAAGGAGTGGGGACAGTAGAGGGAGCAAGGGGTTGTATGAAGGCCCGGGCAGGGTTGGCCTGCGCTCCCACTAGTGACCCTATGGCGACTGCTGCTCTTTGCAGGGGGGAGAGGGGGATGTGCGAGTCGTACAGGGGGACTGCAGGGAGAGAGGGGGAAGGAGTGGGGACAGTAGAGGGAGCAAGGGGTTGTATGAAGGCCCGGGCAGGGTTGGCCAGCGCTCCCACTAGTGACCCTATGACGATTGCTGCGCGCTGGATGGGCGAGAGAGGGACGTGGGAGTCGTAAAGGGGAGCTGGGGAGGGGGAGACGGGGGAAGGGAGAGAAGGGAAGGGTTGGCCAGAGCGCCCGCCGATGCCCCCATGGCGACTGCTGCGCGTTGGAGAGGCGAGAGGGGGACGTGGGAGTCGTATAGGGGGGCTGGGAGGGCGGAACAGGAACAAGGGACGGGGAGATGAAGGGAGTTGGGGAATAGTACGAGGGTTTCATATCTGCCCAGGCAGGGTTGGCCAGTGCTCCCACGGACGCCCCTATGGCACTGCTGCTCGTTGGAGGGGGGAGAATGGTATATGCGAATCGTAATTGGAGGTAGGGGAACGGTGTGAGCAGGGACAGTAGAGGGAGCAAGGGGTTTTATGAAGGCCCGGACAGGGTTGGCGAGAGCTCCCACTGACGCCCCCACAGCCACTGCTGCGCGCTGGAAGGAGGAGAGGGTGACGTGCGAGTTGTATAGGGGGGCTGGAGGGTGGAACAGGAACAGGGGATGGGGAGGTGAAGGCGGGTGGGAATTTGTATGTGGGTTTCAGATCCGCCCGCGCAGGGATGGCCAGAGCTCCCATTGACGCCCCCACAGCCACTGCTGCACGCTGCAAGGGCGAGAGTGGTATATGCGAGTCGTATGGGGGGGCTGGGGAGGGCCAGGGGAAAAGTGCGGGGACAGTAGAGAAGGCCGAGGTTATCTGAAGGCCCGTGTAGGGTTTGCCAGTGCTCCCACTGATGCCCCTGACTGCTGCTCGTTGCACGGGGGAGAGGGGACGTGCGAGTCGTGCTACAGGCATCATGAACTGGAGATGAAATCTTCCTCACAAAAGCACTAATAAGCCGAATCGCACCTAACATGCTTTCAATGCTGGAATTAAAGGCACCACGACATAGGGAAATAAGAAGGCTCGTTTCATGGCATGGTACTGTCGTTGGCCCTTCCTATGCAGCGACAGCTGAACAGGAATCAACGGCTGCAGGCAGCGCGCGCCAATGCTAAGAGCGAGCCGTTCGATGCAGTCGGACGGCTGGACGGTATCAGGAGCATTTTGCGCGAAATGAGAGTGGTTTGGTTTTTGAGAGCAAGATATGAGATTTACCTTCTTCTGATCCAGTAGCTAATCCGCGACATTGAAACTGCTGCTGTTGAAGCGAATCAACGGCTGCAGGCACAGCAAATGGCGGTCTAACGTGAGCCGTTCGATGCAACAGGGACGACAATACAGCGCTAGAGGCTGCTCCGTTTAGCGTCCGCACTGAGCGTCGGAGGAACATGTTGTTCGTCTGCGGAGAGTGAAACAGCGTGTGGCGAGCGAGAAGGTGCGAGGGAGCTGGAGTTTAGATCGACGTAAGACGTTCGAAGGAAGCAAGTTAACTAGCGGAAACGTGCCACTGGTTCTGAGGGACTTTCTACTGCTAATTTCTCCAAGGGTTGACAGTAGAGGCAGGTACCTCAGGGCGCGTCACCTCAACGCCGATCGCAGGATCGATCCTACGTAGGATCGATTTTTTGCGTGGTTTAATTAGCAGCTATAAATTTCAAACTGCGATGCGCGTAGTTTTAATGCGGTGGAAGATCGATTTTCGACGAGGTCGCAGGATCGGCGTTCTGGTGACGCGTCCTCAGGACGCGGATGTCTAGGAAATATAGATTATAGAACTCCCAAGCTGTTGTTGGAGAATCGAGTTTCTGCCGCCCCAGCCCTTTGCACACAAGCAGCAGCAAGGGGGAATGTCGGCGATGAATCAGAGGCTTCGGGAAGTACTTCGAAAGTTCCACCACCAATCAGATTTCAGCCGAAGACTCGATACAGTTCAAAGCTGCCTTCAACCGAAGTGTTGGCAGTTTCTACAGGTTTCTACACATCAGAATCAGCTATAGCAGAAATATCCAGAGTTTTCTTATTCATGCACCTCATGTGGCACTCAAAGTCACTCAAGGTCCACCCAGTCTAGATTGTGCCCAAGTTACCAGGGGAGTTACATTGTCTATCAGCCTAGTTTGAGCTTTCAATCTGTCTTGTTTGTGATGCCTATAGAGTTGTGCTTTAGTGGGCTTGTTAATCTTGAACATAGTGAAGTTTTACCTCATCCAGTCAATTCCAGCAGCCCTGCTAAGACTTTCCAGCCAAGTTTCCAGCCCTCCAGTAGTCACAGCTACTCTGTTTTACAAGTGCTGTTGATAGGGATGCGAATGAGGCTCTCTTCGTTGCTGAATGCTGACGAAACGTGCTCTGACACTTGACCCGTACTTCTGATGTCAATTGGGTTCGGCCCCCTCTCTCAAATACATGCGTCGCTGACTGGAGTCTCTCGAAGGAGGTCTCCCCGAACTTAGCGAATCTTCGAGAAATGGATGAATGTGAACGCGCCCGAAGATAGCCTCTGGGTTTCACGAGCGCATCGAGGATACGGATTATGTAACAAAATTTATTGGTTCAATTCAAACACAGAGAAGCACGAATGCCGTGCTCCACAGCCCATCTCGACTTCACCTGCACGTTCGAAGAACAAGGTGCTTGCGAGACTAACGATGTATCAGCATGTTTTCGCAGTTGTCGTTAACGCCCGACTGGAACATCGCGCACGCATTGCTTTGGTCGCAACGTTGCCTTGCTGAAAGAGGGTAACATGCGAGGCGAGGTGGGTGGGTGCTCCTGTGCCATTCCAACCTTGCACTGCACGCGTGTACCAGGGAGGGCAAAGGATGGCGCAGAGTTGGAGCAGGACAGGTACCTTCAATTCGATCAGTCATGAGTGCCGCATTGCCGCATTACTGTGGTGTGGAGAAGTCGATGACCGATGAATTCAAGCGAGCGTTTCGACTGAAGTCAGATCCCGCGACTCTGTCGTAGCAGTGTGGCGGACTCGAATTCCGCGTGCCTGACTGATTCGCGTGTCGCGGGCCCGACGGTCCGCCGGCGGCGCCATGACGTCACTGCCATCACGGGACGCGACATCACACGGCCACGACGAAGTGATATATTTAGTAGCTCCCGCGATCACAGAGTCTACGAATCATCACTGGCGCAACAGCCATCCTCCGTCCGGCAGCACAGATTTAGCGTCTTCAAACCCCCCGACCGCAACTGACCTTCACGGCGGGCGCCTCACCGCACCCACCCGCCCAGCGTGCAGCCTTGCCTTGCCAACCAAGCCAAGCTCGTTCCTCCTGTCATCCCCACCGCACTCTGTGCGCGTCCCATCTCCGCTGCACTCCGAGCGCGTCTGATCCCCGCCGCCATGGCTTCGGCGGCCTTCCCCGCGCTCTCCTCCACTGTCGCTCCCGCGCCTTCCGCCCTTTGGTCCGCCAATCTCACCGTGAGTTCCCCAGCCCTCCCCAGTCGGCGCGCGATCTCCGCTTCCCCCATCTGCGCGCGCTCTCCGTTCCTCGTGCTTCCATCCCTCCTTTCCCCTCATCCCGCTCAACTCCCCCTCTTTCCCCTTCCGCAGGCGCCGTACCCGACGAACGCGCCGTGGCAGAACTTCGTGCTGGGGCAGGGCGGCAACCCCGAGCTCGTGACGCCGTACGTGGTGCAGAGCGCGGAGGGGCGCGTCGCGTGGGGGCTGCCGGTGCGCGACCCCCAACCGGGGTACATAGTGCAGGCGTTCGTGACGGCGCTCATGCTCTCCACGCTGCAGGGCCTTCCCCCCCATCAGCTCTCCGCCTACGACGACCTCTCCGCCACCCTCTCCTTCCGCCAACCCTCCTCCGCGCCCTCCGATCCCCCCGCGCTCGAGGTCCCACTGGTGCGCGGGTCGCCCTTCCTCACGTTCATATTCCCCCTTGGCGGACCCCCAGCGACGCCCGTGCTGACGACGATTCACGCCATCACGGGTGTAGAGCCCAGCGGCGACAACAGCAAGTACCGCATCGCTCTCAACAACGGCCAGGTCAGCTCCCCGCTCCCCGCTCCGCCCACTCATTACCGCAGCGCAGTACCATTCCCACTCTCGCCTGAGCCCCATTCCCTACACTCTTCAAGCACGCACCCACCTCTCGCTCGCTCATTGTCCCACCTATCTCCCCGCTCCGCTTGCTCACGTTTTGTACTCACCACCCCCCTCCCCACTGATTTCCCCTCTCCACCCCTCCGTACCCCCCACCAGACGTGGCTGCTGTACCTGTCGTCGCCACTGGCGATGCGGCAGGACGGGTCGACACTAGCGGCGGATGCGCCATTCACGGGGACGATGCGCGTGGCGCTGCTGCCGGGCGCCTCCCCGCAGGACGAGGAGGCGGTGCTGGACGCGCACGTGCCCACGGTGCCGGTGGGGGGGAGCGCGCACGTGGGCGCGTTCCGCATCAAGTACACCTGGCGCACCCAGCAGTGGCGCCAGCTGGCTGACGGCGACACCGAGGCGCCGCTGCTCATGCTCTCGCTGCCAAGTGAGTAGCGCCGTGCTGCCACTTGTGTTGCCATGTGTGCTGCTACGTCACCTGGAATGCCCTCATCATCTGTCCGTCAAAGTAACCCCCTTCTCCCTTGTTCCTTCTCTGTCCCCTCTCCTCCTCCCTCCCCCATGAGCAGTGCACCGGCGCATGGAAGTGACCGCGCACAGCCCCTCCCTTCCCTCCACCCTCCGCCGTCACAGCAGCGGCTCACCCTCAGGCGCCATGGGCGCCCTCCGCGCCCACCACAACCCCGCCTCTGCCGCCCCCTCCAACGCACGCAGCAGTGCACCATGGTCGTCCGTGCGAGATGCGTCGGTGCCGGATGCGTCAGTGCTGGCATACCCCTCCATCGACGGCCAGGCGGTGGGCATGCAGGGGGCGGTGTGGCGCCTCAATGTGCCCAAGCGCCCCTCCACGTGGCGTGCGGGGCCCCTCTCGTCCGACCCCCAGCTGCTGGACGAGCTGAGGGCCAGCCTCAAGCAGGACGTGGCCGCGCTGCCGCCCCTCTCCTCCCCCTCCACCTACTTCTTCGGCAAGACAGCGGCGCGCGCCGCCCGCCTGGCACTGATCGCGAAGCAGGTGCAAGACGATGACAGCCTGGCCGCCGTGTTGCCGCCCCTGCGATCCGCGCTCTCCGCATGGCTGGACGGCACCTTCCCCGGTAACCGCCTGCTGTACGATCCCACGTGGGGCGGCGTGGTGAGCGAGGCGGGGTCGCTTGACCAGGGGGCGGAGTTTGGAGCGGGCATGTACAACGACCACCACTTCCACTACGGCTACTTCATCTATGCCGCTGCTACCGTCGCCAAGTTCGACCCCGCGTGGCGCGACCAGTACCGTGCGGCGCTCAAGGACCTGATGGCGGACTACATGTCGCCGGAGCGCACGGCGGCATTCCCAAGGCTGCGGCACTTTGACGCGTACGCGCTGCACTCGTGGGCCAGCGGGCTGTTTGAGTTCGGCGACGGGCGCAACCAGGAGAGCTTCAGCGAGGCGGCCAACGCGTACTATGCAGCGGCGCTGCTGGCGTCAGTGCTGGGCGACCAGCCGCTCGCCACGCTGGGCGCCACACTCGCAGCCGTGGAGGCCGTCGCCGGGCAGACCCTCATGCACGTGCCGCTCGGCTCATCCGCCCCGGAGCCGTCCCTGTCGCCCGCATATGAGGCCGTGTTTGCAGACGCCAACCGTGTGGTGGGCGTGCTGTGGTCCACCAAGCGCGATGCGGCGCTGTGGTTCGCCCCACCGGCGGACATGGAGAAGCGTGTGGGCATCCAGGTGCTGCCCGTAACGCCCTACCTCAAGCACCTCTTCCCTGACCCCGAGTTTGCTAAGCAGCTGGTGGAGTGGGCGCAACCCGTGCTGAGTGGTGCCGCCACGGACGAGTGGCGCGGCTTTGCGTGGGCGCTGTACGACCCGCAGGGGGCCAGGGCGAACATTGCTGCTCTAGGTGCTTTTGATGATGGCAACTCCAAAACAAACATGCTCTGGTGGCTCGCTTCCAACTTGCCATAGTTAGTAGGTGATGTTGTCTATATTATGTTGATGCTCGTGCATGTACAGGATACCGTATATGTCTATTATAAGAGCGTCATGTAACCTGTTGAAGAGATTTCTACCTGTACTCATCCCTGAAATTACCAATTACAGCAATGGGGTCCTGGCCTCCACTGGTAACACTGATACCAGCAAGTCTAACATGCAAGGGTAACCCTTGCCCGATCCTCATCGCCCGATCGCAAGTCAAATATGAAAGGGACAGTATGGTCAATGAATGAGTCCTGTTGAAGTGACCTCTACCTGTACTCGTCCCCGCAGTCACCAATCACAGCAAGAAGGTCCCGGCCTCTGCTGGTAACACTGGTGATCCTTGCGCGATCCTCATCGTCCAATTTCAAACCAAAGATCACCTTGTTGTCCGCGATGTGCTGCTGCAGGCCCAGCCTCACGCCCACCATTGATGCTGCCACCGATGGCTGCTTTGGCAGGAAGGGGGAAAGGGAGCGATAAGAGCAGGGGAGATGGGCATTATAATGTCAAGTTGAATTCATAGATCCTGTTGTCTGCGATGTGTTGCTGCAGGACCGCCATTGATGCTGCTACTGCCGGCTGCTTTGGCAATAGATGGGAAGGGATGCAATGAGAGAAATATGGTTATTATGTTCATCCCTGTTGCGAGTCAAGATCTTCTAGTTGTCTGCGATGTGTTGCTGCAGGCCCAGCCTCACACCCACCATTGACACTGCTACTGGTGGCTGTTGTTTTTTGGCAGGAAGGGGGAGAGGGAGCGATAAGAGCAGGGTAGAACGGGAATTCGTTATGTCCCAGTTGCAAGTCAAGTACAGTTTTGTGAATCCACATTCACCTGGTAGACAATGGAGTGTACAGCCGCTGCAGAAAATTGTAATCCTGTGCTTCTTGAGTGTTTTTAGAGCCACCCGGTGTGTGTGCATATGTGCTATGTTGCACATGCTTGAGACAGTTACCTGGTCGAGAGTAGAGCGCACGGCCACTGCAGCGATTGTAACCCCGTGCTTCTTTGCCACTGTCTCACACTCCCTCAGGAGCTCCTGGAACAGCGCCCACCCGCCCCACGCGTCCACCATCTGCGTAAAACGGTGGGATGATGGGGGTGGGTATGAGAGGATGATAGGAGGTAGGTAGAACAGATATGTATGCGGTAGGAGGCAGTCTCACACTCCCTCAGACGCTCCTGGAACAGCGCCCAGCCGCCCCACACATCCACCATCTGAAAAAAACGGGCATGTGTGGGGTGGGGAAGAGAGTGTGTGATGGGAGGTACAACGGTTTTGTATGTGCTGCTTTTGAGTCGACTCAATAGAAGCAAGGCAGGGGGGCCTGCATCTACTCCTCCTCCTAATTCTCCGACTCCACCCTGCCGTTTCCCCCTCCGCTTACCGCTTGTACTTTCTGAGAGACGGAGTGGCAAGGCAGAAGACTGAAAAAGAGGCGCATATAGCAATTTCTAGATTGACTATTTCACACCTGCTTGTACTTGTTCAGAGAGGGAGTGGCGAGGCGAGGACCGAACATGCTGTTATGCTCCTTGGCGTGCAGGTACTTCTCTGATAGAAGCCCTCCCATTACAGTGCCGTACCTATTTTGCCAAGGGGAATGAGAGTAGATATAAAGAATTGAGTGTACCTATTCCATCGTATAATCAAACACTCACTTATTCACCTCACAAGCAAACAGTACTCCATTCCAGCTATGTTCAATGGAGGCACAAACTGCAGCTGAGTGAAAGTACAAAGCTTTTTCATGTGCTGCTGAGGCAGCAGCAGAATCCATACCATGCATATGTACACATATGAATACATCCATACCATGCATATGTACACATATGTATACATCCATACCATGCATATGTACACATATGTATACATCCATACCATGCATATGTACACATATGTATACATCCATACCATGCATATGTACACATATGTATACATCCATACCATGCATATGTACACATATGAATACATCCATACCATGCATATGTACACATATGTATACATCCATACCATGCATATGTACACATATGTATACATCCATACTATGCATATGTACACATATGAATACATCCATACCATGCATATGTACACATATGTATACATCCATACCATGCATATGTACACATATGTATACATCCATACCATGCATATGTACACATATGTATACATCCATACCATGCATATGTACACATATGAATACATCCATACCATGCATATGTACACATATGTATACATCCATACCATGCATATGTACACATATGAATACATCCATACCATGCATATGTACACATATGAATACATCCATACCATGCATATGTACACATATGTATACATCCATACCATGCATATGTACACATATGAATACATCCATACCATGCATATGTACACATATGTATACATCCATACCATGCATATGTACACATATGTATACATCCATACCATGCATATGTACACATATGTATACATCCATACCATGCATATGTACACATATGTATACATCCATACCATGCATATGTACACATATGAATACATCCATACCATGCATATGTACACATATGAATACATCCATACCATGCATATGTACACATATGTATACATCCATACCATGCATATGTACACATATGTATACATCCATACCATGCATATGTACACATATGAATACATCCATACCATGCATATGTACACATATGTATACATCCATACCATGCATATGTACACATATGAATACATCCATACTATGCATATGTACACATATGAATACATCCATACCATGCATATGTACACATATGTATACATCCATACCATGCATATGTACACATATGAATACATCCATACCATGCATATGTACACATATGTATACATCCATACCATGCATATGTACACATATGTATACATCCATACCATGCATATGTACACATATGAATACATACATACCATGCATATGTACACATATGTATACATCCATACCATGCATATGTACACATATGTATACATCCATACCATGCATATGTACACATATGTATACATCCATACCATGCATATGTACACATATGTATACATCCATACCATGCATATGTACACATATGAATACATCCATACCATGCATATGTACACATATGTATACATCCATACCATGCATATGTACACATATGTATACATCCATACCATGCATATGTACACATATGAATACATCCATACCATGCATATGTACACATATGTATACATCCATACCATGCATATGTACACATATGTATACATCCATACCATGCATATGTACACATATGTATACATCCATACCATGCATATGTACACATATGAATACATCCATACCATGCATATGTACACATATGTATACATCCATACCATGCATATGTACACATATGAATACATCCATACCATGCATATGTACACATATGAATACATCCATACCATGCATATGTACACATATGTATACATCCATACCATGCATATGTACACATATGTATACATCCATACCATGCATATGTACACATATGAATACATCCATACCATGCATATGTACACATATGTATACATCCATACCATGCATATGTACACATATGTATACATCCATACCATGCATATGTACACATATGTATACATCCATACCATGCATATGTACACATATGAATACATCCATACCATGCATATGTACACATATGTATACATCCATACCATGCATATGTACACATATGAATACATCCATACCATGCATATGTACACATATGTATACATCCATACCATGCATATGTACACATATGTATACATCCATACCATGCATATGTACACATATGAATACATCCATACCATGCATATGTACACATATGTATACATCCATACCATGCATATGTACACATATGTATACATCCATACCATGCATATGTACACATATGTATACATCCATACCATGCATATGTACATATGTGTATACATCCATACCATGCATATGTACACATATGAATACATCCATACCATGCATATGTACACATATGAATACATCCATACCATGCATATGTACACATATGTATACATCCATACCATGCATATTTACTGTACTCATGCACTCACACACTATGAACACAGGATTCCATTCCACCAATTTTTAGACGTCTCAAAACATTCCACCTAAGTTAAATAAGATCGAGTGCGGTAAGACCACCAAGCTTTGCCATCTGCTGCTGTGGCTGCACCAAACTCTGTGCCATGCACTCGTGCCCTCACCCACTCCCTCCCTCACTCATTCACTCCCTCCCTCACTCATTCACTCACTCACTCACTCACTCACTCACTCACTCGTGCACCCCACATGCTGAAGGGGCCACACCCGGCTCGTGCTTGTACCATGTACTCGTGCTCGTACCATGTACTCGTGCTCTTACTCAGTCATGTGCATACGCTCACTATAAGCCACTCACGTAAATCAACTTCGTTATAAGCCACTCACGTAAATCAACTTCGTTATAAGCCACTCACGTAAATCAACTTCGTTATAAGCCACTCGCAAAATTCAACTCTCGTTATAAGCCACTCACGTTATAAGCTGCACCCCTGTAAGAGCACAGAGCTGAGCCATTTGCTGCTGTGGCCGCATGTCCACCAGGCTGTGCTGTACCTGCAGTGAGAATCACAGGGGGGAACGGGATTAGGGCAATGGGGGTTGGGTTAGGGTGGAGATGGGGTGATCAACTTATGTGCTGCTGCGGCCACACGTCCACCAGGCTGTGCTGTACCTGCGGTTTGAAGCACAGGGAGGATGAGGGTTTCAGGCAAGAGGGGATTGAGTTCGGTTGTGAAGGGATCAGGTGGGTGGGGGAAGGGAGGGAAGAGGCGCCTCAAGCCATCTGCTGCTGCGGCTGCACGCATGTCCACCAGGCTGTGCTGTACCTGAGAATGGGAAGAAACAGAAGGATTGAAATGTGAAGGGAATGGGGTGAGGCAAGAGAGGAGGTGCCTCGAGCCATCTGCTGCTGCTGAGGGCGCATGTCCTCTAGACCGTGCTGCACAGGCACAGAGGGATTAGGGTTTGAAGCGCAACGGGGTTTGGTCGGATGGAAGAACTAAGGGATTAGGTTAGGTTAAGTTGTGAGAGGATGGGGTGGTGTGAGAGAAGAGGCACCTTCATCCTTCATCCGAATGCCCTCTCAAAACCAGCAGGCACATTTGTCCTTCATCCGAATAAATAAATGAATTATCACTCCTCAGCCGGGATCACTTGCAGCCGGGCGGTGTCAACGCTGGTGAGAAGAAGATTGGCATGGAGTGGGGGGCAGGGAAGCGTTGGGAATGGAGGGCTATCAAGGGCTCAAAACGAAAAGACGCCGCATACCTGGTTGCTGACGATGGGAATGCCATTTTCAAGAATCACTTGCAGCCGCGTGGTGTCAAAGTTGGTGAGTCCAATGGCCTTAATCTTCCCCTCCTCCTTGAGGTCTGTGAGGTGCTTCAACGCGTCCAGGTACCCAGGGTTGGCATAGTCCCACCTGAGAAGCAGCAAAAAGGAAGGGAGGGCATGAGATGGCTTTAATCTTCCCCTCCTCCTTGAAGTCTGTGAGGTGCTTCAATGCATCCAGATACCCAGGGTTGGTATAGTGCCGCCAGGTGGTGGTGAACGATAGAGTGAAGGGAGGGGGGCGAGAAAAGAGGAGATGCGGTGCTCTGATGTTCCACTCCTTCTTGACTTGAGGTCTGTGAGGTGCTTCAACGTGTCCAGATACCCAGGGTTTCTGAAATCCCACCTGGGAATGAAGAGAGCGACGGGGATAGGAGATTATTGGGAGAACAGGAAGGGGGGGGGGCATGAGATGGCAAGACAAGATAGCCTTGGGCCTGATCATCTTCCCCTCCTTCTGCCCTCTCCTGCCCTCTCCTGCCCTCTCCTGCCCTCTCCTGCCCTCTCCTGCCCTCTCCTGCCCTCTCCTGCACTCACCACGACAACAAAATGAGTTGTGTTGAGGAATCACACACACTGAGGGAAGTAGCACTCTTGCACATTGTGCCCCATCTAATGCCATGCCATGCCATGCCATCTCACCAGTGGAACTGCAGCAGGTCGATCGTCTTCACTTGCATGCGCGTGCGGGAGCAGTTGATTGATACCTTCACGACAACACAGAAAGAGTGACACGTGCACATGGTACTCATCACACACCAGCTCACCAGTGGAACTGCAGCAGGTCGATCGTCTTCACTTGCATGTGCGTGCGGGAGTGGTTAATCGGCTTCACTTGGCTTCAACGCACTTGTACATCGCACCTCATCCCCAACTCCCCATCAGCTCACCAGTGGAACTGCAGCAGGTCGATGGTCTTCACTTGCATGCGCGTGAGGGAGCAGTCAATATGACTTGACCCACTTCACTTCACCTTGCTATCTCCTCACCTCATCACCTCACCAGTGGAACTGCAGCAGATCAATGGTCTTGACTTGCATGCACGTGCGTGAGGGAGCGGTTGATCGCCACCTCCACCACGTCACAGATAGATAGAGTCATGTAGCCATGCAAATCACACATCTCCCCTCATCCAGTCTCCTCTCCTCTCATCACATCATCTCATCTCACCAGTGGACCTGCAGCAGGTCGATGGTCTTCACTTGCATGCGCGTGCGAGTGCAAGAACGGTTAACCAGCTTCACTTGGCTTCAAAGCACTTGCACACATTGTATCTCGCCTCGTCTCACCAGTGGAACTGCAGCAGGTCGATGGTCTTCACTTGCATGCGCGTGCGCGAGCGGTTGATCGCCACCTCCACCACGTCACGGGTCATGCGGTCAGGGCGTGGGACGAACTTGGTGAGACTGGTGGGTGGGGAGACGGGGTAGGGGTTGGGCAGGCACAGGAGCGATCAATCGCCACCTCCACCACGTCACGGGTCATGCGGTCAGGGCGTGGGACGAACTTGGTGAGACTGGTGGGTGGGGAGACGGGGTAGGGGTTGGGCAGGCACAGGAGCGATCAATCGCCACCTCCACCACGTGTCGGGTCACGCGGTCAGGGCGTGGGACGAACTTGGTGAGACTGGTGGGTGGGAGAGGAGCAACTGGAGTTCAAATGAGAGGGGAACGGAAGGGGAGAAGAGTGGGGAGGGTGGAGAAAGGCAGACTATTCAAAGGGAGTTTTTGAGAATTCTCAAAAACTCCCTGAAAGGCAGGCTGCTCAAAGTTGACTCGCCACCTTCACCACATCACGGGTCATGCGGTCAAGCCTTGGGACAAACTTGGAGAGACTGGTTTACAGAGGAGAAGACGAGCAGACAACTTTTGAGACGTCTCAAAAGGGTCATGGGGTCAGGCTTGGGCACGAACTTAGGGCAACTGGTTTACAGGGGAGAAGACGAGCAGAAGGGAAAAAGCAGAGAAGCGGAGGACAGGGGCCCAAGAGGGGAGGGGGAGACGTCTCGACAGGGGCCCAAGAGGGGAGGGGGAAACGGGCAAGATGCTGCAGGGTGTTTTTGAGAAATCTCAAAAACACCCTGCGACAAACACACCCATTCACGCACCCGTTCACACACCCACTCACCCGCTCACACATCCACCCACAAACCCACCCATACACCCACCCACACAGCCATTCACCCACGCACGCACCCACGCACTCACCACAGTCATCCATCCACACACTCACTCACTCACTCACACACACAATTCCAGACACACCCACACTCACCCCTGCACGCCAAATGCAGCCTCCTCCCCTCGCTCCCTCCTAAGCCTGTCAATCATCGCTCCATAATAGCTCTCTGCAGGGCCGTCTGGGGGAGGAGGAGAGGGAGGTGAGAGAAGACAGAGAGCACCCTCCCTCAAAGATGTCTTCTCAGAGTAGTGAGACAGAGAGAAGACAGAGAGCACAAGGAGATTCAAAGTAGTGAATAAGGTATCACCCAGCACCTTTGCTGATTGTACCCCTTATAGAATCACCCAATACACTCATACACACTCCCTTATACTTACATATATTGGTCATGTTGAACGTGGTGAGACCAGCATCAGCATGCTGCAGCATCGCAGTCACCACCGCATCTGGCGCTGCCTGTCCCCACGCCGCGCCCCTGCTGTTCGTCCCCCTTATAATATCACCCATTAAACGCTCGCATTCTACACTTCATAAAGAAATACTCACATATATCAGCCATGTCAAAGGTGGTGAGCCCAGCGCCAGAATCGCATTCACCACCGCATCCAGTGCTGCTGTGAGCCTCCACTTGGCTCTAATGCTTCTCCCCCTTATTGGTGCGACTTTTGAGAATTCTCAAAAGTCGCACCTTCTACAAACTCCCACCAAACCCACTCTACTCAAACATGCACTCACATCCATCGGCTATGTCGAAAGTCGTGAGCCTGGCATCAGCATGCCGCAGCATCGCAGTCACCACCGCATCTGGCGCCGCCTGCCCCCATTCCCCACGTGTCCCCCTTATAAGCTCACCCTATATACATATACACACCCCCTTCTACTCACATATATCGGCCATGTCGAATGTGGTCAGCCCGGCGTCAGCATGCTGCAGCATCGCAGTCACCACTGCATCTGGGGCTGCCTGCCCCCACGCGCCACTGCTGCTCTGCCACATGCCGTTCACCACGCGGCAGATGTCCAAAGAATCGTCCCCCTGTTCCACTGTCACCACGCAGGGGAGGGAAACGGAGAGTATCGAAGGGCCTTATAAGACCCCTGCCTGCCCCCACGCCCCACTGCTTCTCTGCCACATGCCGTTCACCACACGGCAGATGTCAAGGCTGCCCTTTCCCTGTTCCACTGTTGGAATGTTGGGGGGAGCTGGGGGAGAAGGGATAAAAGCCGCTGTTGAGTGCGCTAAGCAAGCCCCTGCCCCCACGACCCACGCCCCACTGCTGCTCTGCCACATGCCGTTCACCACACGGCAAAAGTCAAGGCTGTCCTTTCCCTGTTCCACTGTTGGAATGATAAGAAGAGGTGGGGGAGAAGGGAGGAAAGCGGCTGGCTGGTGAGTGCGTTACATAAGCACCTGTCCCCACGCCCCGCTGCTGCTCTGCCACATGCCGTTCACCACGTGGCAAAACGACAAGATCCCACGTGCTCATTCCACGTGCTCACCCCACGTGCTAGAGTAGCCAGTCCTACTTGCCAGCTACAGCCAGGAATCGTTGCAGCAGCAGTCTAGCGTGTGTCACGCGCCACTCAAAACAGTCTACAATAGGAAACCGAGGTTCAATCCAGAAGGCACCGCGGATAGGAAACGTAAGTCCAATCCGTGTGACTCTCAAGTAACACGATTAGGCTTACGAGTAACACAATCCGAAGGAGCCAGAGCATCAGTCGAAATAGATCGAATGGGCGTGTTCAAATAAGTTGCTACTTAGTTCATTCACACCGACATTCGAGTCGACTCAAAGGTCTCTTAATGTGACTCGCCCCAGGCTTACGAGTGACGCGGTCCGAAGGAGCCTGAGCAACGGTCGGCACGCTCGAAGGGGCGCGCTCGAATGGGCGCGCTCGAATACGCTTCCTAGTTCGCTTTTGATTCGACTCAGAGGTCTCTTTATGTGACTCGCCCCAGGCTTACGAAGGACGCGGTCCGAAGGAGCCTGAGCAACGGTCGGCGCGCCCGAGTCGGCTGATGCTTCCGCTCGCACAGACAAATCCCGCCGACGTGGTCTTTCCGTCGCTCGCGCGGAGCGCTCGTGCCGCAGTGTCGCGAATCGCGCCACATTGGACGGAGCGAATCCGCGGCAAGGTCGGAGCGAATTTCGTTCCCAGGCTGGCAATGTGGCACGAAGTTGCCGCGAAACGAGGGACTCCATGGCACGCTTGAAGTACTGGGCGCGCAAGGCACAGAATGATCAGGCTGTGACTAAAGAATCTAGAAATTTATTTCAAAAGCACCTGCTACTTGGTTTGGACGTTTCAGTCTAGCCTGATGGTGTCTCCCTTCCCTATCAATCCTCTAGGGGTATTTGGCGGATTCCTTCTAGAATCATGTGATGCATCTTGTTTCCGTTGGGTGTGTTACGTTTCAGAGCGGTACTGCACTGAAGTAATTTAAGGCGGCACGTGTAAGCGGAGTAAAGCGACACGCGGAGGACGTGATCCACGTGGAAAGAATCAGCCAGCAGGGAGCATGAATCGCCCCACACAAATGAAGCTTGCTCGGATCGGAGTGCAAATGGATCAACACCCCAGCAAATGCGTTGCAAAAGTGCTCGATTTGTGATGCAAATACATGTACAATCAGCGTATTACCCGTACGTACTCCTGCAAGCTCTGCTGGTTCGCTTCAAGCAGAAAAAAATATGGCTTTCCCTATTTATATACCAGGCAACCCATTCCGCTCTACAAAAGACATGTCATACTAATGTGGTATGTATCCTATGCATGCTCGCCTTCCATATAGTAATGCCCCACCTCCTATCTGCGGTACCTTGTGCCAAGTATAGCAAATTGCAGCTTGCAATGCGTGAGGCGTCGAAGGCTAGCTTGCAGTGACACCCGGAGCCCGGGCAGCAAACGAAAGAATGCCCCAAACTTCCTGAATTTTCTCGTGAAGCGTCTCAAAAACCAAGTCTTATTCAGGGCAGCAGATGAAGGAGTGCCTGAACTTCCAATCGGCCACCTGGCACGACCGGCTACAGTACTTTGCCTTTCCGCACCGCACACAACTCCTGAATTCGTTCTCCCTCGTCTCCGGGCGGCAGCACGCAGGGTTACCGCAGCAGCGCCTGCCAGCTGGCAGCGAGCGCAGCGCGTGCCAGCTGGCGAGGAAGTCGTGCACGCGATGGGCGGCTTGCGGGCGCGGAAACGCCAGCTGGAGGGCGGCGGTGGATGCGGCAGCTGCTGACGTGGCTGCTGCTGATGTGGCTGCTACAGCCGGGGTAGCTGCAAATGCTGATCTTCTAACATGGGCAGCTGGAGCAGTGGCAGCAGCGGTGGCAGCGGCCGAAACAGCAGCAGGAGAGGTGGTAAGAGGGAGCATTTGCCGAATAAAGGCGAGCGAGGCAAAGGATACAGCAGAGGGCAGTGGGCTGCTTGATGCACCCTCCCTCTCCTCCTCCTCCTCACTCTCCTCCTCCACCCCCTCATCCTCCTCCCCATCACTCTCATCATCCTCTGAGTCTATCCAAAAGTCTTGGTCCTCCCCGCATCCAACCCCATAGCTTCTCAGGATGCCGGCTAGAGCATCTGCAGCAGCAGCAGCAGCCGCAGCCGCATTAGCAGTTGCACCTGTTGATTCACACACAGGTGAAGGCGGCGAGAGGGACAGTTCAAGCGACAAAGAGCAAGGCTCAAATTCTTGGCTTCCCAGCTCGTTTTCCTGCTTTCCCTCTGCATCCTCCACGCCTCTCTCCTTTGCAATCTCTTCCAGCAGCAGCATCATTCCCATTGCATCCTCCTCCTCTTCCTCCATTTGCCGCTTCTGCCCCTCCTGCCCCTCCTCCTCTCTCTCTTCCTCCTCGGAACAGAGAGAGAAAACCAGGGTTTGGTCAGCTCCCCGTTCCGATGGCGCTTGCGTGCTTTCCGCCTCTCTAAGCCTCTGCCGCTCCTCCCCTTGCGCGTCATCGCAACAGTTGATCCTCCCCTCGTCCTTTCCTTCCCCCTCGCCTCTAGCGTCGCTGTTCCCTCTTCTCTCTACAGTCACATCTCCCCTAAGCCTCGCGCCTCCAGCGTCAGCGCCTCGCAGCATCCCACTGCCGCACGCTTCGTTACAGTCACTTCTCGCGTTACAGTCACCCCTCGCGCACGCGCGCGCGCGGGCGGAGGCGGAGGCGGAGACTGCGCCGACGGGGGAAGAAACAAGGCGTTGGGGCCAGCTGCGCGAGCGGCCGATGCTGCGGAGCTCCCGCTGCTGCGTCTGCGGCTGCGGCTTCCGCGTCCCCTCCTGCAGAACCTCCACTCGCGCCGCTCCTGCTTCCGCGCACTCGGGGGAAATGGGCGCGGAGCGCGGCGTGACCTTCGCATTTCTCCGCCGGTCCGCTTCCGCCAGCCCCGCCGCCGCGTGCTGCAGCAGCAGCTGCCCCAAGGACGTCCTTTGCGCGACGCCGTACCCGTCTAAAAAGCAATGCCCGAGTTCCTGTAACGCGGGGAGGAACCCGAGCCGCGCGGCGCGCCAGCTTAGCTCCACGCCGACCTCGGGATTCGCGTCGTCCGCCGCGCCGCCGCTGCCGTGGAAGTTGATTATTGCGAGAGAGTACATCGCCGCGCCGTGCCCCGCTTCCGCCGCCTGCGCGAGGAGCTTTGCGCCCGCCCAGTGATTGTTGAGGCAGTAGAAGGAGATCTGGAAGGGAAGAAGGGGGAAGAATGCGCGGGGAGGCGGAGGGGAAGTGGGGGAGTTAGTAAGTCTAGACTCAAAACACGGTGGTAAATAGAAAGAAATGTCGGTGAGTCGACGGGGAGGGAAAATGCTTGCGCGAACGAACAATGCCCCGAGTCGGCAAATGATGGCTCACCATGCCCACAACGTAAATCGCCTCGAGGTTGCCTTCTGCTGCGGCGCTCAGAAGCAGGCGTTGCGCCGCCGCCGTCCATCGCGCCGCGTCTGCCGGCAGAAGCATTTCGATGGCGGCCGAGGCGCGTAGCGACCAGCTGGCGGCGGGGTGGCAAACGCTGCTGAACCGCCTGCACGTCACGAGCATCCCCGCGACGTCCGCCGCCGATTGCGCTTTAGCGAAGACGCAGCGCGCGATTTCCGCGACTAGCTCGTTGGGCACGCGATCGAAGTGGCACGTGCGACGCGTCGTCGCTGAGTCGCAGCCGTCGCCGGCGACGGGTCGTTGAACGTCGCGGGAAAATGTCTGCGCTTGCGGCGCCACCGCGTCTGCGAAAATCGCAGAGGCTGGGGCTTTCTTGTCGCCGAAAGTAGAAATCGGCTTCGAGATGTTGTTGCAATGGAGAGACGGAACACCGAAGAATGCGGGCTGCGAGTACGCAAACTCATTTGTGCCGAGCTTTACTCTTTTGAAAGACTCCATTTGGACAAGAATGTCGCTTTACTTCCCAGAGTGTCGTGGAGAGACCCAGACCACAAGATGGTACCGGAATGCAGGTAAAAAAAAAAACGTTGACTCTGTTTTTCGGATATAAACTGTTGTTTATTGTTGACCGTGAGCGTCTACATACAGAAAATGACGCTCCTATAAGAACTTCAGATGACCTTCAGAAGGTAAAATCGTCCCGACAGGCACGGCGGTAACTAGCAGAGAAACGGAAAATGCAGTTTTCTGTCGTGAGACCTACGCTGCTTGTTTGGTGTCGTGGAAAGTAGTAAGGTCTGAGGCCTCTCGCCTTTTCTATGTCCAGCTGCTGTGCTTGTACGGTTCTAGTCAGTTGTGTGACAGCTTGGCGTAAAATTGTTATGTTACAGAACGATTTGTTACGGCGAGGGACGGTGTTGCTGGTGGATGAGGTTCGAAATCGAATGTTCATGTGGCTTGCTCCAGGCAGAGTGAGTGGCTATGTGGGGACCACTCGTTGCCTTGTGGGTTCTTTGGTGGTCAAAGGTCTGCGGAACCACGGAGCAACTGGTTCAACATACGCAGACCGAGAAGAGCCGAATTCATCCGAACACATCAAGTGTTCGGACTTGGCTGGCATTCCAGCAGGACAGAGATAGGGACGACGCGCATTTGAATACCGCGTGCCAGGTTGTTCACATCCACACATTCACAAATCAACCAATCGGCAGCATTTGTCCGACGGTTCCGGCAACTGATCGAGCGGTATGCGTTGTACAGCCCCTCCGGCTCGAGGAGCAAGCGGGAGGGAATGCTGCTGCCGCGCAACCGCACTGCATCCCTCCTTCCAAAGGAAATCGGGAACAAGATTCGGGGAAAGGATTCGCGAATCTGAAAACTGTAGCATCTACTCCCTCTCGTGCTGTCGTTTCCTCTGGTTTTGTGTGTGTTCGTGACGGTGACGGTGACGGTGCAGGGGGTTTCAGCGCTAGGGCTGTGATGCTGCCAACGTTTTTGAAAAAAAAAAAAAAAAAAAAAAAAAAAAAAAAAACCATAGCTTTTTTGCGCAAAAAAATACACCCTCTCTCTCGCCAGACTGACATTGGCCATATTGACGGACCGGATCCTGAAGTGGCCCAGCTAGTTAGCTGGTTCACTTCCGAAGGATGAGGTCCCGGGATCAAATCCCCCCTGCGGCGTGTTCTGCCAGCCCCCCAGAAGGGGGTTACACAGGTGCTCATCTGGGAGTGGATACATTAACCTCGTTACCCAGCGAGGCGTGGAAACAAATGGGTAGGCGGGTTACGACCGACAGCCGGGGTAATACCAAGGGGGTTTCCCCATAACCTTTACCTTTACCATATTGACGGACCGGCTATACTGACATCAATGCGTCCAGAATGGTCCCAGAACATACCATATGAGCACATTTGCCGCACTCAACCGTACGGAAACGCAATTTTTCTTCCATAAAATGTTGTGTACCGTTCCTCTGGAGTGCATTTGCCCGCCACCTACCTGGCGTTCGGTTGCAAGCACCAGATCGCTAGGGTCCAAGCAACAGTACGCTAGGGTCCAAGCAGCAGTACGCACTGTAGCCAGCGCTTCCCATTGTCAGTCTGGCGAGAGAGAGGGTGTACGCGGAATCGTAATTTGCGACGTGTACCCCGAGTGTATCCGCTTGAACACACTTGTGTTGCATGAAGAGCTTGTTTGTGGAGTCAAAGGAAATGGGGTAAGTAGCTTTCGCAGAGGTGCTACTAGCGACCCTGCGCTTTCAAGGAGACTAAAGTGCTAATCGCGGGCACTTTCCGCCCCTCCGCCACTCCGAGAGGAAAGTTATGGCAACAACACAGAACTCGGTCCCACATTCACCCACGTGTCACAAATTCGGAAAGTTAGAAACGCACGGCAAAAATAATAAAACCCGTAGGGAACCTGGACTCATTTTCGGGAGGGATCAACCCTAAACACGGGAACCGACATTTTTTTAGGATTGATGCCTCCCCGAGATGCATCCCCCGATTGGGTTTTAGGTTTTTTCGGTCAGGGAAAGGGATATTTTTTCCAGTGGCTTGCGAAATTCTGACACGTGGGTAAATTTGGGACTTAGTTCTGTGCTGTTGCCATAATTTTCCTGTCGGAGTGGCGGAGTGGCGGAAAGTGCCCGCATATAGCACTGTAGTCTCCTTGAAAGCGCAGGGTCGCTAGTAGTACCATGCGAAAGCTACTTAGGCGTGTGCAAAGTGCTGCATGTAGCTCGACGTCGAGCTACGTCGAGGTTGTTGGGCAAGGTAGGTGAGCTAAGGGGTGCCATTTCTGTGTGCAAAGTACGCTTCAAAAATTGCTGACGCCAGCATCGCCATTTGTACGGAAATGTGCAATGATGATAGGCACAGAAACGGTCAACCAAAGAAAAATTGAGCGAATCTTTACAGTGTTTGCCAGACCACGTAAGACAAATTCACAGATTGGCATGAATCGTAATCTCGACCATTGCGAACATTTTCATTTCGTGATGAGATTTTCGCAGCCAATAGACGCGCTCGAAAAAGACATTTGCGATTTCAGGTTCTGGTCCCAATTCAATTCTTCGACAGTATCAATTCAATTGTTACTATTAAGGCCGGCATTTGTCTTGAGTGGACAGTTCGTCGCCGGCAATGTGTTCCAAGTGCCGCATTCGACGTCAATCGACGTCAGAGGCTCGACGTCACTCGACGTCGATCTCCGACGTCAAAACTACGTCCAAACTACGTCGAAATACTTCGCACACGCCATAATGGCGTCCACGGCGCACACGAGATTGTGGGACGCATGCAATGAGATTGCACTTGATAAACGTGTAGGCGTGCCACACACACCGTTCCAAGGTTTCAGCTGCGCCACAGATTTTTTCAGTTTGTCCGTGACAATCGATAACTCTTGTCACTTTCCATTAATGAATCATACCCGTGCAGGCTAGACGCTGACATGGATCTGGATATTCGATTTGAAATCAAAACCCGGATTCGGTAATTTGGCATTGACAGATGGGCTGCCGTGACGCTTCAAGTTCATACAGATCGTAAAAGATTGCAAAAGCAGAAGAAACCGCGTTCGGGGGAACCAGAAACCGCGTGTGCTCGACGAACGAATCATCTCACTAGATTTCTGTCGCTGGGACCAGCTTGCATTACCAAAACAGTGGGAAGTCTTGTTTGTCGAGATTGATGGGGTTTGGAGCGTCCAACTGTCACCAGCTCAAATGGAGCATTTCATAATGGAGGTGGAGGTCCCTTGCTTGCTTGTCAGTGAACTTGTCGCACGCTGACAACGTTGCACGACTTGCCCGAACCCAACCTGACCAAACCCAGCCCATACAGTGCTCAGAGAATATCCACGAAGTTTCAAATGGAAGCTGTTCTACACCGGTTTTATATTTTGTGGTGGTAATGTAAAATCATGCTGTTGTATTTTGCCAATATTCTCACCAACGGCGGAAACCATCAATTGAAAGAGGGGAAGAAGGGGTGACATTTGTACTGATTACTATCACACGCTGAATATAGGTACCATCATAATAAAATGTAACTAACATGACGTTGATCCATATTGCGTGGAGCATCACCAATTAGTAACCACCACACAACCCTCATCAATAGTTTTCCAGCTCTAGCTTCGGCAACAACGACCAGAAATTTCTCCGGTGGTGTACCACCAGAAGCCGGGTGGCAGCAGTGAGAATCCGGAGCTCCGCCGTGCCCTCTGAGTACATGTGTGTGGGGCCCACATGACGTGGCTTCGCCTTCAGTCCACTCATGCCCTTCTTGCGGATCACTGTTAGCGCTTGCTCCTCTGTTATGCTGCCCAGCCGCATGCCCATGCCTGCTGCCTGCACCTCGTAGTGATCTCTTAACTCCTTGATATTCACCTGAGATGTGTGGTTGCAAGGAAGAAGGTTCAAGGAAGGAGGAGAGGTGCTTGAATCTGCATGCGCATGCCTGCTGCTGCAGCACCACCATTATCACTGCAATCTCTCCCAACCACCCAGAGTGATCCCTCACATCAACAGCAGCAGCACCCCATGAGCACTTACAGCCGCAGCAGCAGCACCCCATGAGCACTTACAGCCGCAGCAGCAGCAGGAGCAGCAGCAGCAGGAGCAGCAGCAGCAACACCATTATCACTGCATGCTCTCCCACCCACGCCCATGCCCTATCAACATCCATGCCCTTCATGCCCAGAGCCTTATCATTCAGATCAGATCCATCCCCTCACCAGAGTGATCCCCTCCCCTCCGGTGATTGACACTTTAGCCGCCGCCCCAAATGTGATCCGTTCTTCCAACCGCACCCCACCTCACCGCACTCGACCCCTCTTTCACACACTCACCAGAAGGATCCCTCCAGTGATAGACACTTAAGATGGCCCTATCTTCCAACCGCACCCCACCCCAGCGCACCCCACCCCTCATTCACATACCCCCATGCAACCCCATGTGCGCCAGCAGCAGAGCATGCAGCAGCAGCAGCACTATGTCACCGCTGCATGCCCTTCCAATATCCATCACAGGCCCATCAAAGGCTTACTTGAGTAATCCCTCCAGTGATGGACACTTCAGATGCTGCCCCAAACGTGATCCGCTCTTCCTGTGGCTTCTCAACCAAATCCATCTCCTCCCATCCAACCCCAACTCACCGCACCGCACCCCTCCTTCACACACTCACCAGAGTGATCCCTCCAGTGATGGACACTTTAGCCGCCGCCCCAAACGTGATCCTCTCTGCCGTCGCCTGCAGCCCCTCAAACACGCCCATGTGCGCCAGCAGCAGCGCGTGCAGCAGAAGAAGAAGCAGAACCACCACACACCCTCCCACCCAGCCCCATGCCATATCACGCTTTCTCACAGGCCCCCAAAGGCTCACCAGAGTGATCCCTCCAGTGATGGACACTTTAGCTGCCGCCCCAAAAGTGATTCTCTCAGCCGTCGCCTGAAGCCCCTCAAACACCCCCATGTGCGCCAGCAGCAGCGCGTGAAGCATCTCCAGATCGTCACACCCGCCCGCTCCCACGCTGCTCCCTCCAGAGTGAATCCCTGACCCGCCCACCAGGTCTGCTCCTGCTCCCACACATGCCTCTAAAAGGCCCAGTGAGATTTCTGCCACCTCTGGCACCCCTGGGCGCTGGGGGAGAGACGAGAGGGTAATAGAGGGAAAGAGGGAGATTGAGAGAGGTTGAGAGAGATTGGGAGGGAGGATCGGCGCCCCTCAAACACCCCCATGTGCGCCAGCAGCAGCGCGTGCAGCATCTCGAGATCGTCACACCCGCTTGCTCCCACGCTGCTCCCTCCAGAGTGAATCCCCTGACCCGCCCACCAGGTCTGCCCCCGCGCCCACACATGCTTCCAGCAGACCCAATGATATCTCCGCTACCTCTGGCACCCCTGGGCGCTGTTGGGAGAGACAGGGGATACAGGGCAAGAGAGTCATGTCATGGGGAAGTGAAAGAGATTAAGCAGTTGATAGAGAGAGGTGGAGAGGGATAGGGAGGAGCGGAGCCCCTCAAACACCCCCATGTGTTGCCGTGCTCAGCGCCACCCCCTTGGCTCATGCGGGCAGTAACACCCACCCACACCCACCCAAACGCCCACCTGGAAGTTGCTGTCTGCGCGGCACCAGTCACACATGCGAATGAGCGACCGCCAGAGGCCAAAGCAGTCCACTGTTGCCGTGCTGAGAGCTACCCCCTTGGCTCATGCTGGCAGTCACACACACTCAGACACACATCCACACCCACCCACACCCACCCAGACACACACCTGGAAGTTGCTTTCCGCGCGGCACCAGTCGCATATCCGAATGAGCGACCGCCAGAGGCCCAACCAGTCCACTGTTGCCGTGCTCAGCGCCACCCCCTTGGCGCGCGCGAAGTTGAGCACCAGAGACACCACCACCGCTGCCCTCACCAGCGCGTCTGGGTCCATTGAGAGAGGGGGTTGCGAGGAGGAGGAGGGAGTGGAGGAGAGCGAGGAGTGGGAGGAGGAGGAGGAGGGGTGAGAGGAGGAGGAAGAGGAGGAGGCGGAGGTGGGGGGGTTGGAGGTGTGGGAGACGGAGGGAGGGAGTGTGTTGAAGGAGGGTTGGGCAGGTGTCGGCGTGGGGGGAAGGGGGAGGGAGAGGACTGCCACTCCCATGTTGAAGAATGCGTGGGACATGGAGGAGCGTGGGTGGGATGGCGTGCGCGGGGAACGAGGGGACATGGCTGCATATACGGGTTGGGTGGGTGGAGTCAGGGAGAGAGAGGGGGGAAAAGAGATGAGTTGAAGAATGTGTGAGATATGGAATAGACGGGGTGGGATGGCGTGGCTGTGGAGAATGAGGGGAGACGGCTGTGGAAGGGAGGGACGGGGAGTGGGGGAGAAAGGGCGATACTGATTGAAAAATGCGTGGAACACGGAGGAGAGCGGGTGGGATGAGGAGTGCGGGGAATGCGGGGAATGTGGGGATGAGAGGCTGGGAGGGGTCGTACCAGGTGATGAGGGGCTGGGAGGGGTCGTACCAGGTGATGAGGGGCTGGGAGGCTCGAGGGAGTGCATGAGGAAGGTGGCAGGGTCGCATCTGAAGAGAAACTCGGCAGTATGTCGCTCCTCTAGCAGCAGACGGGCTAAGAGGAAAAGCACCTGAGCGTTGTAGCAGCCAGAGCAGGGGATAGCGGAGGGGGGAGAGGAAGGGGACGGGTAAGAAAGAGACGGAGAGGGAAGGTGGCCGGGTCACATCTGAAGAGGAACTCGGCTGTGTGCCGCTCGTCTAGCAGCAAACGGGCGAGGAGGAAGAGAACCTGAGCATTGTGGCATGGCATTGTATAGGGGATGGAGGAGAGGAAGACGAAGGAGAAGGGAGGGAGGAAGGCAGGGTCGCATCTGAAGAGAAACTCAGCTGTATGTCGCTCCTCCAATAGCAGACGGACAAAGAGAAAGAGAACCTAAGTTTGGTGCCAGGGCAGGGCAGGGCGGGGGAGAGAGGAGAGCAGCAGCTGGTGCGTTTAAACCGACTAGTCGAAACATTTCCACGCGGCTCTCTGATCCAAGACGTATGTAATACTAGAAAACCTTATAATTCAACAATCCGTTCCCTCCCCCCCTTGCATGCGATGCAGGATAGATCAAAAGCGTCTCTGCGCATGAAAATGAGAATGGGGTCTGAAACGCTTGTGCAAAGAACAGGGCACAGCATTTCTCCCCACACAAGACCATGGCCTTAGCTCTTTTGAGTCGACCCAAAATTCACCTTAATTCTTTTGAGTCGACCCAAAATTCACCTTAATTCTTTTGAGTCGACCCAAAATTCACCTTAGTTCTTGGAAAAGCCCAATTTTCGTGCAGAGAATCCGAATCGAAAGCATAGCCCTTGCCTCTCCCTTATGCCCTCACTTTGACCCTCTCAACTCTGCTCACCTTTGACCCTCTCAACTCTCCTCACCTTTGACCCTCTCAACTCTGCTCACCTTTGACCCTCTCAACTCTGCTCACCTTTGACCCTCTCAACTCTGCTCACCTTTGACCCTCTCAACTCTGCTCACCTTTGACCCTCTCAACTCTGCTCACCTTTGACCCTCTCAACTCTGCTCACCTTTGACCCTCTCAACTCTCCTCACCTTTGACCCTCTCACGTCCTCAAATTTCCTCTCGTCTCGAACAGGAGGGAGAGGGAGCGACTGTCAACATGGGCCCAGAGATAGCATGTGTCAAGGCGTGTGCCCTCACCTTTGCCCTCGGTAGCCCTCCCTCCCCTTGCAGGGCGTGCGGGTCAAAGGCGTCTCGGCAGGTGAGCAGCAGCAGGCGCAGGCAGTCGCCCCACAGGAGGGAGAGAGACTTGCCAGGTCCGACAATGAAGCCCTCATGCGGCCACAGCTGGAGTGGGGGTAGAGAAGGAGAGGGAGTGAGGATGAGTGCTGAAAGCAGCAGCAGCAGCAGGCGAAGAAGATCTCCCCACAAGAGAAATGAGTTGAAAATACGGAAAGGGAGGCATGACATCACAAGGGATTGAAAAGGAAGGAGCGCTGGCACAGCAGCAGCAGCAGCAGCAGGAGGCGTAGCAAGACATGCTGACAGCGTAACATGGCATGCTCCCTTTGGACATCCAGACGCCAGGAATTACATCCGGGAATCTCGCAGTGGGGTTGAGCGCTCCGAGAAAATACAGCATCAGCACCCCACGAGTCAGCAGCAGCATATGCGTGCAGGCAGGGTGCTGCTTGAAACGAGCGTGAATAAAACAAGGGCACCACTTACAGAAGGGGATCTTGCAGTGGGGTTGAGTGCGACGAGGAAATACAGCAGCAGCACCCCACACGTCCCATATGCCCACTGACCATCCACCTCCCCTGCTCCGCTCCCTCTCTCCGTGAACTTCTCTACAATCACACTAGTTATAGGGGGCAGTTCTCCAAGCCCTTTCCCGCTCGCTATCCCCCCTATAGCCGTGCTAGCGTAACTGTACAGTGCCTGGGTGGCTGCTGACGTGGCAAAGGCCACTACAGACAAAGCTGATGACGCTTGAGACGAAATTACGCCCATAGAAGGCAAATAAGAGCTAATCCCTCCTAAAATCGCCCCTTCGCCTCCTCCCGTCCCACCTCCTCCTCCTCCTGCCCCTCCCGCTGCCCCTGCCCCTCCCCCTCCCCCCCCTCCTGCCCCCGCCATCCCCCCACTCCCCTGCCCCGGCTCCTGGGAAAGCGAGAGCAGCGAGTGAATCGTATGCAGCAGGGGAACCAGGGGCGCGTTGGCTGACGAGGCGATTCTATCCGCATAGGGATCGGAAGCTCTTCGCCAGAGCAGCAGGAGGAGGAGGACGAGTGAGGTATCGAATTCGAGGCGCTGGCGGTGGTGCGGAGGGGAGAGGGTGAGGAGGGAGAGGAGGGGGTCCGTGATGGGGTGGAGGAGCAGGTAGGAGGCGACTGGGTTGGCGTTCACGTTGTCTGTTGCAGTCAGAAGCACCAGGAAGAGCCTGGGAAGGCGGGCAGGGGAAGAGGAGGGAGAGAGAAAGAGGAGGGGGGAAAGGGATTGGCATGAGAGCAGCAGCAGCGGCAGCAGCAGCAGGAGGAGGAGGACGAGTGAGGTGTCGAATTCAAGGCGCTGGCGGTGGTGCGGAGGGGAGATGGTGAGGAGCGAGAGGAGGGGGTCCGTGATGGGGTGGAGGAGCAGGTAGGAGGCGACTGGGTTGGCGTTCACGTTGTCTGTGGCGGTGAGCAGCATGAGGAAGAGCCTGGGAAGGGAGCAGCAGAAAGAGGGAGCAGATTAAGGGAGCCGGGAGAGGGAGCAGGGATGAATAAGAGGAGCATAGGGGGTTGGCGTTGACGTTGTCTGTGGCTGTGAGCAGCACGAGGAAGAGTCTGGGAAGGGGAACGAGCAGGGTGGGGAGGGAGAGGGCGGGGGGCAGAGAGCGGGGAGTGGCCCCGTGTGAGCAGCCCGGAGACATCACATCACAGCGCCTTCACTATAGCCACTTGGTGACTATAGTAAAGGTAAACCAATACAAGGTTACTCTACCTTTTCTTGTCCCAAGTGCTTTTATGAGCACTGGCACGTATTCCCCTGTGAGTAGCCTGGCTAGCAAATTGTAAGAGAAGGAATCCCAGCTGTGTGAATCTGAGGGTTTGTATGTACACTGTAACGGTTACAGGGTTACCCTACCTGGTCCCGAGTGCCTTTATGAGCACAGGCACGTTCTCCCCTGTGAGTAGGCCAGAGACGTCACAGAAGAGCTTCTTGAGCAAGGCATCCCCACCCCACTGTGTGACTATCGTTCATACATTATGTAACAGGGTTACCCTACCTTGTCCGAAGTGCTTTTATGAGAACTGGCACGTTTTCCCCTGTGAGCAGGCCGGAGACACTGCAGATGAGTTTATGAAAGTGGGCATTCCGGGTTCATACATTACAGAGTTACCCTACCTGGTCCCGAGTGCTTTGATGAGCACTGGCACGTTCTCCCCTGTGAGCAGGCCAGAGACGTCACAGATGAGCTTCTTGAAATGAGCATCCCCGGTGTGTGAATGTACGGATGATCATAGGTTACAGGGTTACCCTACCTTGTCCCAAGTGCTTTTATGAGAACTGGCACGTTATCCCCTGTGAGCAGGCCAGAGACGTCACAGATGAGCTTCTTGAAATAGGCATCCCCACTGTCCGCGTTCCCTGCAACGAGCGTGATTATAGTGAAGGTCTGCGAGTGACAATGGGGGAAAACGGGAGGGGTGACAACGGAAAGGGGGGAGGGAGGGGTGCTAAGCCCCCTGGCAGGCTGACATGTCCCAGTCCCGTCCCACTCCGAACTATTATCCATATATTTCACACAGAAACACGCCCAGAGGGAAACTCGATTCAAACGTATGCTGTGTGGGCTGCTCGGAGGAAGCGCCATCATATTATTACCCTCTGCTGCTTCGCAAAACCTCTGCCCTCAGAAACACGGCTAAGGCTCCAATCCTAGCTCAAGGCTAGGGAACCATCCCATCACGGCACCATGCTCACCTGCTCTGCAAACCGCTTCTTGAAGATCTCCCTCAGAAACACGGCTAGGGTTTCAAGAGCATGTGCCACTCGGATGAAATTCACATCGCTCAAATATCTGGTTGGGAAAGGGGGACGAGGAGGGATGGGGGAGGAAATGGATGGGTGAGACGACCAAAAGACGAGTGACAGGGTGTGAATTCACCTGAGCAGGGCTGCGGATTCACCTGAGGAAAGCTGTGGATTCACCTGAGGAAAGCTGAGGGTTCACCTGAGGAAGGCTGTGGATTCACCTGAGGAAGTCCGTGGATTCACCTAAGGAAGGCTGCCGATTCACCTACGGAAAGCTCTGGATTCACCTGAGAAAGGCTGTGGATTGACCCGAAGAAGGCTGTTGATTCACCGGAGACACAACTGGAAATTCACCTGAGTTGGGCTGTGATTCACCTGAGACAGGATCAAAAATCACCTGAGGCAGGCTGTAGATTCACCTGAGGCAGGCTGTAGATTCACCTGAGACAGGCTCGGGATTCACCTGAGGCAGGCTGTGAATTCACCTGAGGCAGGCAGAGAAGATCTCGTTGATGGTGGGCTTGAGAGGACCAATGAGGCGATCCTCGGGGATGGATGCGATGCACTGTGCCAGGTAGGCGTCGTTCACCTGCCTCGTTCAAGGCACGCAGAATCAAAGACACAGCAGTGAAACACAGCAGTGAGACATAGTGATGGGGTTACAGCACACAAGAGGGGACCAACGAGGCGATCCTCGGGGATGGATGCGATGCACTGTGCCAGGTAGGCGTCGTTCACCTGCCTCGTTGGGAGTGACGGAATAGTGGGACGCAGAGTCACGCAATAACGGGGACACGGGGAAGGAGGATGAGGAATCCCACAAGCAGCGAGGATTCTGAAGCGATATGGAAACGGGAAAGGCAGCGCTTTTCTGTTTCGATTTTAATCAATTTGGAAGCAAGCCGTCAAGGTTGCACAAGTGATTTCGATCTGAAGAGAGGAGTCACGATTGCTGCAAAATGTGCAGCCCAGGGAATCAGAACCGCTTAGAACGCTACGCCACAACGCTACGCAGCTTCACGGTGTCGCGCCTTAGAGATTGAGTACAAAGGCAGCAGCATGGTGTGAGATAGGACCACTGGAACCTACTTTTAACAGAAGAAGTTCGTCCCAGAACCGCTGCAGCTCCTGCCGTCCTTCGAACCCTTTCTCCCTGCACGTACTGATCGGGCTACGTCCATTGAACACGTCCTCGTAACGGCAAACGAAGAGCTCTTTTAACGGAGCCTTGAGATTCGCCGCTCCACCTGCTCGAGATGTCTTGTGCGCGACCAATCCCTGGCTCCTCATGATCGGACGGTGCTGATCGCGTAAAGATCGCCGGATCAGGTAAGAGACATAAGGCTCCCGATCAATAATCAAGGGACGAAGCGAAAGGAACGGTGCGAATTCGCGAAATGTCGATGCGCATTGGCGAAGATTTCGTGCGAACTAGCAATTGGTGCGTCCAGGACGGTAATTTCGCGAATCAAAACGAAAGCCGGCCGAGGAGTAAGGCGGGCCACAGAAACGACCCCGCGCTTAGGCTTGACACGCTTCGCCTTGGACTGACAAGCCGCGATTCGCCCTAGAATCTGTCAGGTCAACCTAGAACGAACTCAAGAGCTATTGGAGAAGCTGACAAGTCTATATACGCGCTACAAGCTCCTCGGTCGACTGGGTCTGGAAGAGCAAACACGAGCTTGAGGTTGGCTGAGGTGAGAATGGATGGTCGGCAAAAGTCAGATCAGCCCAGATGCAGCGATGTAGGCGAATTTGGCAGCAAAGAATTCTCCGTCAATAAGCAGGTTGTGGTGTGGAATTCAAACGAATTTCTCTGTAGATGCCAAAATCGAGGGACACTCGATTTATAAGGCTTCGTTTGTCAGACGGAGAACTATAACCCACTTCACGTTTGAACGTCAATACAGCATCTTTCGCTCACAGCACTTCGATCACCTCGATCATAGATTCCTGCCTCCCATCTTTCTGCCCAAAAGCAGGCTTTTCCAACGAAATTCTCAGAGACTGAACGATTTCGGACCTATTTTCGCAGATTAGTTCCTCAGTCTCCTCAGTCTCCTTGATCCCCGGTGACCTTCACATCTCCAAAAGCGCCTCGCGGGGGCCTTCCGAGTATTATAAGCAGGATCTTGAAGCGAGGTCAGTACTTCTGAGTCTGAGGTGTTTTTAATGTTGCTGCTCCCATCAGCGCAATTCTTGCAACCCGATCTGAACCCGATGAGGTTATGGCGTTATCCTATTACGATAGTGATTAGATTCGCAAGTCATTTATTCCGCGATTTCCGGGTGAGAGCATGTATCTAATATGATCACTCAAACGACGATGAAGTGAGCATCGAGATTCCACCCTGTAGCTGCCTGAATTCGCGTCGACAGCAGTTTCCATGATTCATCTGGCAGTACTCGCTAATCTCTTGAGTCTAACGCAGACTTGACTCAAATTAGGAAAAAGAGCTGTTAGTTAAAACCTCAATATTGTTAGATTCGATTAGATTCGGTTCGTTAGATCCTGGACAAGTCTTTCCGTCCTTGTTGCCAACAAATTCTGAATCTCTGCAGTGTGTTTGTATCGAATACTGATTGCCTGTAGCGCTCTTTTGAATATTTCCTGCCTGCAGTGTGCTTGTTGCGGATCCTCCTTTATCGCCGCCATGAGTCGCGGGTCGGGAGCAGGGTACGATCGTCACATCACCATCTTCTCACCCGAAGGCCGCCTCTACCAAGTTGGTTCGTCGCTTTTCACGCCCTTGACTCTCCGATACGCACTCCCTCCATTCCCCATCCTTTCCTTCCGTCACGCTTCCCGCGTCTCCCTCCCGCCATCTCTCTCTCGCTCCCTCCCTTCTTCCCTCACTCACATCACCATCTTCTCGCCCGAAGGCCGCCTCTACCAAGTTGGTTCGTTTCTTTCATGCTCGACTCCGTAATTCCCTTTTTTTTTCCAACCTTCCCTTTCCTTCTCCCGCTCTCCCTCTTTCTCGCTCCTTCCCTCTTGCACTCAGTTATCACCAACTTCGCCCGAACTCCACCTCTACCAAGTTGCTGCCCTCAACTACTCGATTCCCTATCTCTTCCTCCCTTCCTTCCTTCCTCCCTCCCTCCCTCCCTCCCTCCGTCCCACTTCGCCTCGCCCCTTCACCCTCCGTCACATCACTTCCTCCTCCGCTCCTTCCTAAATTCCTTCAAGGTATATTTCTCGATCGTGAATTACGTTCTCCTATTGCCGCTCCTCCTCTTCTCCTTCTCTTACCGTCCTCCCCTATGCCCCACCCGTTTCACTCGAGGCAGTCAAGTCGGTTGGAGTAACATCAATTGCCGTGCAAGGCACGGATTCAGTCTGATTGTTCCTTTTCCCTTCCTCCCTTCCGCACCCGCCCTCTTTTCCCTTCCCCTTTCCACCAGAATATGCTTTCAAGGCGGTCACGTCGGTTGGAGTAACATCACATCATTTGCTGTGCGAGGCACGGATTCAGTCTGATTGTTCCTTTTCCCTTCCTCCCTTCCGCACCCGCCCTCTTTTCCCTTCCCCCTTCCACCAGAATATGCTTTCAAGGCGGTCAAGTCGGTTGGAGTGACGTCCATCGCAGTGCGAGGCAAGGATTCAGTGTGCTTCGTGACTCAAAAGAAGGTCCCTGTAAGTGCGCGCTCTCCTTTTGCATTGAGATTCCAGAATAAGGATTTCGTGTGCTTCGTGACTCAAAAGAAGGTCCCTGTGAGTGTTCTTTCTCGCTCGCGCTCACCGCTCGGTTCTTTAACATTATTATCACAACCCAATCAACCAAGCGGAACTCGGTGTGATTCATGATGAAAAGGGAGATCCCTGTAAGTGCTCGTTTGCTCGCATCAGGACAAGCTGACAGACAAGACCAGCGTCAGAAACCTGCTTTCGCACCCCGACTTTCGCTTAATCTTCCCCCCCCCCCCCCCCCCCCCCGCTCCCTGTTCCTTCGCCTCGCCCTTCCTCCCCTCCCACCTTTGTTTTTCCCGCTCTGTCATCAGGACAAGCTGACAGACAAGACCAGCGTCACGAACCTGTTTCTCTGAACTCCAACCCTTGCTCAATCCCCTTCCCCTCTCCCTCCCGCCCCTCCCCCGTCTCGCCAATCATTTTTTTCCCGCCCCGTCATCAGGACAAGCTGACAGACGAGACCAGCGTCACGAACCTGTATCCAGTCACCAAAGGCATTGGCATGCTGGCGACAGGCCTCACAGGTGCGTGTGAGGTGGGTGAGAGGTGCGTGTGAGGTGCATGTGAGGTGCGTGTGAGGTGCGTGCGAGGTGGGTGGGAGGTGGGTCACACAGGTGGGTCAGAGCCATCACGAACCTGTATCCGGTCACCAAGGGCATTGGCATGCTGGCAACGGGCCTCACAGGTGCGTGGGAGGTGGGTGAGAGTTGCGTGAGAGGTGTGTGGGAGGTGGGTGCGAGGTGGGGGGGAGGTGGGTCACACAGGTGGGTTAGAGGCATCACGAACCTGTACCCGGTCACCAAGGGCATTGGCATGCTGGCGACAGGCCTCACATGTGTGTGGGAGAGTTGATGTCATCAATCAAGCACTGGTCAATTACACCAGGGTTACCACTTTTATTATCTATCTCCTCTCCTTTGCCGGCTGCTCTTCCCCTCCGTGCCGACGCGAGATCAATAGTTTTGTGGGCTCGTTACGTTTCTGAAGGGGTGCAAGTTATTGAAGATCCCTGAGGGCATCAACCGGCTGACGAAGCTTCAAGAGCTATGCATCAGGTATTGCAGCGATCTGCGAGAGATTCCTGAGGTTATTACGGGTCTCAAGCGTCTGGAAAGCTTGCGTGTTGAGGGCTGTGCGAGCCTTGATTGGATGCTTAACGATGCTCGTACAACTTTCAACGCGCAAGCTCTCCAGGCGCCTGAGAGCCGTAATGGCCTCGGGAATCTCCAGCACTTCGCTGCAATAGCTGATGCAGAGCTCTTGAAGCTTCGTCAGCCCGCTGATACCCTCAGGGATCTCCGACAACTTGCATCCCTTCGATGTTTAACCCCAATCCCCACATCTTTTCACCCCTTCCCACTTCTACCTTCCGTCTGTCCTCTCCCGTCTTTCTCCAGCCGACGCGAGATCGTTGGTGCTGAGGGCCCGCCACGAGGCGGCGGAGTTCCGGTTCAAGCTGGGATATGACGTGCCTGTGGACTACCTGGCTAGAAGGTGTGTTGAGGGGTGCTTTGTGGTGCTGTGTGGTACTGTGCGGGGCTGATTTGGGTTAAAGTGGAAGGTACTTTATCATGAGACACGAGGCGGCAAGGTTTCGGTTCAAGCTGGGGTATGACGTGCCTGAGGACTACCTGGCTAGAAGGTGATGCGCTGTGCTTAGTGGTACTGTGCGGTGCTGGTGGGTTGGGTGGCAGTGTGGGTGGGCTGTATTGGTGGGCTTGTGCTGGGAGGCAGGCAGGCATGAGCCACGAGGCGGCAGAGTTCCGGTTCTAGCTGGCTGGGGAACGACGTGCCTGTGGACTACCTGGCTAGAAGGTGTGTTGAGGGGTGCTGTGTGGTGCTGCTGTGTGGTGTTGGGGTGGGGTTGAAAGCACCATGTGTGGGTTCAAGCTGGGGTACGACGTGCCTGTGGACTACCTGGCTAGAAGGTGTGTTGAGGGGTGCTCAGTGGTGCTGTGTGGTATGGTATGGGGGTGGGGTAGAAGAAGGTATTGTAGCATGAGTGACGAGGCGGCAGAGTTCCGGTTCAAGCTGGGGTACGACGTGCCTGTGGACGACCTGGCTAGAAGGTAGGTAAGAGGATGTGTGCTGAGGGGTGCTCAGTGATACTATGTGGTGCTGGTGGGCTGGTAATGAGGGCTCATCACTCGCTAGTAGGTACTGTGTTGGATGGATGGCAGTGTGTGTGGGTTATGGTAACAAGTGGGGTGGGTTGTGTGCGGTAATGCGTCGTGCTGCTATGTTACCATCCTTCAGTGTAGTGCCCCGAAAATTCCCTTTCTTCCCACTTCCCGCCCTCTCTTCCCCACTTCCTCTTTCCCCTCCCCTGTGTGTGTGCAGATTGGCGGACATGGCTCAGGTGTACACGCAGCAGGCATACATGCGACCTCTGGGCGTGGGTGAGTGTGCTCCTGTGCGAGGGTATGAGTGAGCAAGTTAGTGAGCGAGTGTGTGGGTGGCTGGGGAGTACACACAGGTGGCATACATGCGACCGCTGGGCGTGGGTGGGTGACTGGGTGAGTCAGCAAGTTCGTAAGTGAGTGGGTGGGTCTCACAAGTGTACACACAGCAGGTATACATGTGACCGCTGGTCGTGGGT